TAGAATGTCTTAAGGTAACCAAGGGTGAGCTAATGAATAGGTTGTAAGTAGGGTTGTTTAACCTTACCAACCTTGTGTAGCTTTTCAAAACCCCAAGTTCTAACACTTAGAGTAGATAACAAAACAGCCCAAGATACTATGAAAAGGTAGAAATTAAGTAAGCAAAGGCAAGATACAAAAGTTACAAACTATACCTCCTCAAAATGGAGTAGCTGTGTTGATGATCAAACTCACTCTGAACACTCCAAGCTTGAATTATGCTTCTTAGAGGGCAACCAAGGTTCTCAGATGATGAGTCAAGGTTGTGTATGGTGCACATAGATGATACAAAGTTGGTGTAGTTATTAACTCAAGGTAGCTTGCAATGGAACAAGGATGAAGAGGAGCTCTCTAGTATATAGGCTTCTTCTAATTGTTCAACCCCCAAATAGAGGTATATGTCGCATTTATAGAATATGAGCACAAGGTGATAAATATCTTCAAAAATGGACAGTCGGCGCGCTCCCTGCCCAAGAACAATGTTTTTTCACTACTGAAGCCGGCTGGCCCTCAATAGCCACAGTTGGCCCTCAATGAGCTACGGCCAGGCCTCAATGAATTCCCTTGTTTTTTCTGTTTCAGCCTTAAACACAAGGTGAACAACAAGGTGTAAAAAGGGATTTCTTAGCTATGATTAATGGGAATATGGGAGATTTGGGGTTGTGTCAAAGCTTGAACAAAGCCTCCTTCGTTGAACCTCGAAACCACGCCCAATACCACTTTCATCATCGAGTGTTCCGAGGTAAGCGCTCGAGCATGCGAGCGGTCAAAATGGGGTGTCCACAGAGTGTAAATCCTACATTGGTTAGAAGAGTGTAGCTATTGTGTCTTCACAAATCTTAGAAGACCTGCTCCAAGGACTTTTCGAGGTTCTTTGCTTGTGGAAGCATCAAATGTTCATGAACTCTCTATTTCTCTCGTATAGTACCCATGTCCACGGATCATGACAAAGGTAAGGGTGTGGGTATGTGTTTTGAACCATACACCTAATGTGGCAGTTGGACCCCTTTATTTTATACGCTATTTTCGTAAAGAAAGTTCATATTGCTAGTAAAAAATATTTTGTCTTTCACTGCGCGAGAAAGAGAAATTTCTTATTTTTCTTATGTCCTATTTAATTTCAAGTATATATCTAAATAATTTACATCATATTTTCTAAAGAATTTATACAATATACAATATTTATGTGTTCATGATATGTCCCCATACTTGTACCATTTTTTGGATACATATCCTGTTGTACCCAATTGTAGATAACATAAAACAAATAGATTCATATTTGAACAAACAAATAGATTTCAGAACAAGAACATGCTTGAATTTACATAAATTCATAAATAATAAAACTGGCAAAAGGAAGCAACCGAAGTCTACACTAGACAGTGTCCTTAAACAGATATCGCCGCCTCAGCCGATTGGGTGCTGGAGGTTGTTCGACGTCTGTCTCCCAAGATAGAATAATTGGACCAGCTACGCAATGCACCTACTGAATAGCTTTGACGAACAGAACTTTGTAGCATTCCTCCATTAGGAAAAAATAATAAAACTGGAAAACTTTTGAAAGATTGGAATAAGCAGCAATTTCTGGTGTAGAAGAGTTAAAGGAGACGGCCTCCTTTTATACACATGGAGGGAGAGAGGAAGAGGCTTCCATGCAACAAATGCAGGAATTAATTTTGCATTCACCTAAATTAATTCTGCAAACTGATGGGTTTAATTCTTCATAATAAAGGAGACAGGTTTTTTGTACATATTCCTACAGCCCACACATCTAACTTGGCCCAAAAAGATTAAGATGAACGGGCCAAGCCCAACCCCCACACTCAATCCATTTCAGCAAGCCCAAGCCCATGTCCTAAATCCCAATTTCCACGACCCACGCATCATGGACTCGGACCGGGACTCGGTCCAGTCCGGTTAGGGCGGGCTGGCGGCATGTGGGCGCGAACGTTTGGCAATTTTGCATAACCAACTTGGACCATAATCTTCGCCCAGTCCATTCTTGAAGCATCCATAACTCATTTCCTTTGAAAATTTGGTTGCCCAAAGGGCTTACACCCTTATGCAAAAAAATGGGTTTTTAAATACCCATTGATGTTCTCCTCTACAATCAATGTAGGATACAGGATTTTGACATTTCCCAACACCTCTTTCATGAGGCCAACTTAATGAAGTCAATTTCTCTTTCAAACCTTAATGGTTTTTGGTCATTCTTTTTTGTGGTGTAAAAAGATATTATTACAAATAATCTAAACCCACTTTAATCCATCTCAATTGACATTTGGCACGCCTTTTTAATATTGCATTAAAGTCACCAAAACCATTAATTCCTCCAACATTCCAACATGAATAAATTAACGGAATAATAACAAACGGACAACGCTTCGCATAAAGACTCGGAGAGAGTGCAAAGGAATAACCCGGTATCAGAAAATGTAACTTTTGGCTTTGAACCCCTCCTAGTGAAGTCTATCGAATTCGAATTTATTGGCTATCTAGTGAACACGAAGTCTTGAACTGGTCTGCCATTTACGTAAACCAAGACAATAGACCTCAACTAGATTACTCCAATCATCGTTCTGTTCTCACTTTTGTGTCCGGTTGGCCTAGAAGCACTAGCCTGGTTCAATAAGAGGTTTAAAGAGTTAAGCCCTTTTATTCTTATAGAAGCAGCCCCTTCACACTCACATAGGTGACTCTACTTGAGTATCCTGCTATACTCAGCTCAACAGCTTAACACACTACAGTCATTAAAAGCTTAGCTTACCTCTACACTTGCAGTATCACCGATAAAAGGAATGTCTGGTGGTTTAACCTCCTCAATGACATACCACCGTTACACGCAATTAGGTTGCCCATTGAACCTAGATCTTGGATCTCTAGTCAACTAGGTTGGGTTCCATTCCGGTAACACCTTACACTAAAGGCTTAACCCCATTCCTTTTGACGAGTTTTCTACTAATACTTGATTTAACCCTTTGGTTAGCGGATCCGCAATGTTGTCCTGAGACTTTACATAGTCTAAAGTGACAACTCCGTTCGAGTGTAGTGCCGTATGGAATTATGTCTACCGACGAATATGTCTAAACTTCCATTATAACTATTACTCTGTGCCCGTCCAATCACTGATTGGCTGTCACAATGGAATACAGATGGCTAGCACAGGTGTAGACACCCTATTTTTGACCGCCCTTAAGACTTGGCGCCTTCAGGTTGATCACTCGATGATGAAAGTTTATGCTGTCCAATCGCTTAATTCTCTCAGCAAGAAAAGCTTCTAATCCCAACCTTACACCCCATTTAGACAAAAATTATTTTTGACCAAAAACTATTTTAGACCTTAAAACCCTTTTTTTCAAAATATTTTTTCCAAATGTTTCTACGATGTTTCAAGGCTCGCATTTCATTAAAATATTGAACTTTTTCGGTAAACTGAGTAAGGATATAATATTCCAACTTTTATTAGAGCCAAACACACTCCTATGTTAAACTCCATTTAGGATATCTAAACCCAACTCCAAACTTGATGGTAGGTGTGACCAAAACGCCCCATTTTCAACATAAAAAAAAAATAGAAGTGCAGATTTTTTTTTCTTCATTGCCTTCATTCTTCATTCTCTAACTTCTCTCTACTTTCTCTCTCATTTTTCTTTACTTTCTTGGAGGCCAAACACCACACCTTTGCTCCACTCTTACACCACCACCTTAACCCACCATCTCCACCACCTCCGGCCACCATATCTCACCGAAAAAAGGGTCCGGTCGACCACTCCTTAAATCCATCCGAAAATAACACAATAGAAGCACCAACTCTAGATTTTTCTTAATCTTTTGAAGAATCAAATCATGGGATTTATTTTCTTGATGGATTAGAGGCTGTAATTGGTAAGAATCTTTCCTCTAAAAGTTTAGTTTAAGGTTTTACATATTTTGAGTTAGAGATGATGAAATTTTTGTGTTTTAGATATATTATGATTTGGGGTTTGATTGTTGAATTTATACTCTCAATTAGTTTCCATGAATGTTTTACATTGTTAAAAAAAAATGGTCAAATTTTGAATGGTTGATTTGAGATTAATGATTTGGGTTAATCTAAGGTTTGAATGTGATGTAAAAATTGGGGATTTTGGTGTAGGGAATTTATATGTTGAAATTGATTATAAATGGTGGATTGGGTATCTCTATGTTCTATGGAGGAATTTTATAAGTGATTGAAGATATTTTACTTAAGTTTGTGAGTTTATACAAAAATGTTGATTTTTTACTTTTGTAGTAAATTGATGGTGGTATTGTGCATATAAATTGATTGGATATTTAAAAGAGTTACTAACCTCAAGATGTTCAAAGGATGGGGTTTATGGAGATTGGATCAAGTTATTTGTTTGGGTGACTTAAAGTTGGAGAGTTTTTAGCTTGCCATTCCTAGCATAATTTATTTAGGATCATTTTTGTAGATGTTGTAATTTTCATTGAAAGCTTTTCCTATTTGAGATCCTATTTTACTAATTGTTAGGAATTGGAGGAAGGCATCTCTACACCTGCTTGGAATTAATTTGTAGAGTTTCAAATCTAACTTTTTGCTATTTTTGGAGGTGAGTATACTTACCATGGAAATTACCTTACCTCTATCTTTATTACAAAGTTTGAAATAATTTTGAATTAAAGGAACGTGAAATGATTACATTTCATTCATGATATATGTATAAAAGAAATCTATAAATTTATTGAGGCCAAGGGTTGAGTTTTAATAAAGATATGATTTCATTTGTATAATGAAGCATTAATTTTTTTATGAGAATTTATTTAAGTTTTGAGTCTTTTTCAAATTTAATGACGATGATGATTGAATGACAGTGAATATGTTTATGTGAGGGTATTTATTTTTATTGATCATATAACCGAATATAGCCTTTGGGGCCACAAGGGCCAAATGCTTGGGGGTCACTGGGACCGAAATGTTTTAAGGACCATTAGGGTCGTTGTATGTATAGGGTCCGGGACCGAAACATTGAAACAAGAATTGAAGTGCTACGATGACATGAGCTATGTTCCTATAGTTATGTTTTGGGTAACGGTACCGTCACCACCTAATTGCGAGGTAACGCGACCCTAAGGCTATGTAGTGGATTGTATGATGGACAGGAAATCTTAATGTATTGAAAAGTTATATTTTTGGTTTACTTTCATTATCCAAATGTATTTTTTTCTGCTTATGAGATTCCTTGGAAAAATCTTGATAACGTTTTATGAAAATTGTATTTCATCATTTTTATTTTTATTTTGTATAAATTTAAAGTCCAATTAAGGTCTTATGTTTAGTATCTTTATTTGAACCCTATTGGTAGGAGCAAGTTTTATAAACTCCATGTATTGGTTAAACTCATGGGCTTTAGCTCATTTCTTTTAAATAAATTTTTTTTTTTTTTTCAGATTCATAGACTTTTGTGTGGCTCGCCTCAACTTGGATGACTAGAATTTTTTGAAGGATCACAGGTGGCATCTTGTGGTTGAGGTTTTGCTTAGGGTCATTCTAGGATGTAAGCATACTTTTTTTTTTTTTATTGAAGGAGGTTGATTGTAAATATTGCTTTGATTGGATGTATTGATGGATTTGTGTTAGATATGTATTATATTTTTTTTGGAGGAAATGCTTGGGAACTATCTTGTAGCAATGATAATACTTTTTTTGTCTTTGAATAGATCATCGCTATATATGTTAGGCAATTTGAAAGGTCTTATGCACTTTTGGTGATGTGGTGATGTGATGTACAATAGTGAAAAATTTCATAAACCATTATTAAGATTTTTCAAAGAATATAATAATGAGAAAAAATACATTTGAACAAGAAAATCAAAGCAAAAATATAATTTTTCAACACACTACATAGCTCTCAATAATAAAGATAATAAATATAAGAGCTTGATTTGGCTGACATTAATACATAGTGAAAAATTTCATAAACTATTATCAAGATTTTTCAAAGAATATAATAATGTGAAAAAATACATTTGAACAAGGAAATCAAAGCAAAAATATAATTTTTCAATATATTACATAGCCTTAGGGTCGCGTTACCTCGCGACTTAGGTGGTGACGGTACCGTTACCCAGAACATAACCATAGGAGCATAGCTCATGTCATCGTAGCACTTCAATTCTTTTCAATGTTTCGGTCCCCAGGACCCCTTATACATACAACGACCCTTATGGTCCTTAAAACATTTCGGTCCCCAGGACTCCAAAGCATTTTGGCCCTTGTGGCCCCAAAGGCTATATTCGGTTATATGATCAATAAAATAAATACTCTCACATAACATTTCACTGTCATTCAATCATCATCATCATAAAATTTGAAAGACTTAACTTAAATAAATTCTCATAAAAAAATTAATGCTTCATTATACATATGAAATCATATCTTTATTAAAACTCAACCCTTGGCCTCAATAAATTTATAGATTTTCTTTTTATACATATATCATGATGAAATGTATCATTCACTTCCTTTAATTCAAAAATTATTTTCGAACTTTGTAATAAAGATAGAGGTAAGGTAATTTCCATGGTAAGTATACTCACCTCCAAAAATAGCAAAAGTGTAGATTTGAAACTCTACAAATTAATTTCCAAGAGGTGGAGAGATGCCTTCCTCCAATCCTAACAATTTAGTAAATAGGATCTCAAATTAGGAAAAGCTTTCAATGAAAATTACAACATCTACAAAAATGATCCTAAATAAAATTATGCTAAGGAATGGCAAGCTAAAGAACTCCTCCAACTTTAAATCACCCAAACAAATAACTTATCCAATCTCCATAACACCCATCCTTTGAACATCTTTGAGTTAGTAACTTTTTAAATATCCAATCAATTTATATGCACAATACCACCATCAATTTACTACAAAAGTCAAAAATCAACATTTTTGTATAAACTCAACAACTTAAGTAAAATCTCTTCAATCACTTATAAAATTCCTCCATAGAACATAGAGATACCCAATCCACCATTTATCAAATCAATTTCAACATATAAATTCCCTAACACCAAAATCCCCAATTTTTACATCACATTCAAACGCTAGATTAACCCAAAATCTTAATCTCCAAATCAACCATCCAAATTGACCATTTTTTTTTTAACATGTAAAACATTCATGGAAACTAATTGAGAGTATAAAATTCAACAATCAAACCCCAAATCATAATATATCTAAAACACAAAAATTTCATCATCTCTAACTCAAAATATGTAAAACCTTAAACTAAACTTTTAGAGAAAGATTCTTACCAATTACAAGCCTCTAATCCATCAAGAAAATAAATCCCATGATTTGATTCTTCAAAAGATTAAGAAAAATCTAGAGTTGGTGCTTCTATTGTGTTATTTTCGGATGGATTTAAGGAGTGGTCGACCGGACCCTTTTTTCGGTGAGATATGGTGGCCGGAGGTGGTGGAGATGGTGGGTTAAGGTGGTGGTGTAAGGGTGGAGCAAAGGTGTGGTGTTTGGCCTCCAAGAAAGTAAAGGAAAATGAGAGAGAAAGTAGAGAGAAGTTAGAGAATGAAGAATGAAGGCAATGAAGAAAAAAAAATCTGCACTTCTATTTTTTTTTTATGTTGAAATGGGGCGTTTGGTCACACCTACCATCAAGTTTGGAGTTGGGTTTAGATATCCTAAATGGAGTTTAACATAGGAGTGTGTTTGGCTCTAGATGAAAAGTTGGGAATATTATATCCTTACTCAGTTTACCGAAAAGTTCAATATTTTAAATGAAATGCGAGCCTTGAAACATCGTAGAAACATTTGAAAAAATATTTTGAAAAAAAGGGTTTTAAGGTCTAAAATAGTTTTGGTCAAAAATAATTTTGGTCTAAATGGGGTGTAAGGTTGGGATTTAGAAGCTTTTCTTGCTGAGGAAATTAAGCGATTGGACAGCATAACTTTCATCATCGAGTGATCAACCTGAGGCGCCCAAGTCTTAAGGGCGGTCAAAAATAGGGTGTCTACACCTGTGCTAGCCATCTGTATTCATTGTGACAGCCAATCAGTGATTGGACGGGCACAGAGTAATATGTATAATGGAAAGTTTAGACATATTCGTCGTAGACATAATTCCATACGGCAACTACACTCGAACGGAGTTGTCACTTTAGACTATGTAAAGTCTCAGGACAACATTGCGGATCCGCTAACCAAAGGGTTAAATCAAGTATTAGTAGAAAACTCGTCAAAAGGAATGGGGTTAAGGCCTTTAGTGTAAGGTGTTACCGGAATGGAAACCCAACCTAGTTGACTAGAGATCCCAAGATCTAGGTTCAATGGGACAACCTAATTGCGTGTAACGGTGGTATGTCATTGAGGAGGTTAAACCACCAGACATTCCTTTTATCGGTGATACCTGCAAGTGTAGAGGTTAAGCTAAGCTTTTAATGACTGTAGTGTGTTAAGCTGTTGAGCTGAGTATAGCAGGATACTCAAGTAGAGTCACCTATGTGAGTGTGAAGTGGGGCTGCTTCTATAAGAATTAAAAGGGCTTAACTCTTTAAACCTCTTATTGAACCAGGCTAGTGTTCTAGGGCCAACCGGACACAAAAGTGAGAACAGAACGATGATTGGAGTAATTCTAGTTTGAGGTCTATTGTCTTGGTTTACGTAAATGGCAGACCAGTTCAAGACTTCGTGTTCACTAGATAGCCAATAAATTCGATAGACTTCACTAGGAGGGGTTCAAAGCCAAAAGTTACATTTTCTGATACCGGGGTTATTCCTTTGCACTCTCTCCGAGTCTTTATTGCGAAGCGTTGTCCGTTTGTTATTATTCGGTTAATTTTATTCATGTTGGGAATGTTGGAGGAATAATGGTTTTTTGGTGACTTTAATGCAATATTAAAGTGCGTGCCAAATGTCAATTGAGATGGATTAAAGTGGGTTTAGATTATTTGTAATATAATCTTTACACCACAAAAAGAATGACCAAAAACCATTAAGGTTTGAAAGAGAAATTGACTCATTAAGTTGGCCTCATGAAAGAGGTGTTGGGAAATGTCTAAAATCTTGTATCCTACATTGATTGTAGAGGAGAACATCAATGGGTATTTAAAACCCATTTTTTGCATAAGGGTGTAAGCCCTTTGGGGCAACCAAATTTTCCAAAGGAAATGAGTTATGGATGCTTCAAGAATGGACTTGGGCGAAGATTATGGTCCAAGTTGGTTATGCAAAAATTGCCAAACGTTCGCGCCCACATGCCGCCAGCCCGCCCTAACCGGACTGGACCGAGTCCCGGTCCGAGTCCATGATGCGTGGGTCGTGGATCTTGGGATTAGGACATGGGCTTGGGCTTGCTGAAATGGATTGAGTGTGGGGGTTGGGCTTGGCCCGTTCATCTTAATCTTTTTGGGCCAAGTTAGATGTGTGGGCTGTAGGAATATGTACAAAAAACCTGGTCTCCTTTATTGATGATAGAATTAAACCCATCAGTTTTGCAGAATTAATTTAGGTGAATGCAAAATTAATTCCTGCATTTGTTGCATGGAAGCCTCTTCCTCTCTCCCTCCATGTGTATAAAAGGAGGCCGTCTCCTTTAACTTTCTACACCAGAAATTGCTGCTATTCCAATCTTCAAAAGTTTTCCAGTTTTATTATTTTCTTCCTATGAGAGAATGCTACAAAGTTCTGTTCGTCAAAGCTATTCAGTAGGTGCATTGCGTAGCTGGTCCAATTATTCTATCTTGGGAGACAGACGTCGAACAACCTCCAGCACCCAATCGGTGAGGCGGCGAATCTGTTTTAAGGACACTGTCTAGTGTAGACTTCGGTTTGCTTCCTTTTGCCAGTTTTATTTTATTATGAATTTATGTAAATTCAAGCATGTTCTTGTTCTGAAATTCTATTTGTTTGTTCCATATGAATCTATTTGTTTTATGTTATCATACAATTGGTACAACAGGATATGTGTCCAAAAAATGGGTACAAGTATGGGGACATATCATGAACACATAAATATTGTATATTGTATAATATTCTTAGAAAATATGATGTAAATTATTTAGATATATACTTGAAATTAAATAGGACATAAGAAAAATAAGAAATTTCTCTTTCTCGCGCATGTGAAAGACAAAATATTTTTTTACTAGCAATATGAACTTCTTTTACGAATAGCGTATAAAATTAAAGGGTCCAACTGCCTACATTAGGTGTAGGTGTCAAAACACATATCCCACACCCTTACCTTTGTCATATCCGGTGGACATGGGTACTATACGAGAGAAATAGAGAGTTCATGTAACATTGATGCCTTCCACAAGCAAAGAACCTCGAAAAGTTCCTTGGAGCAAGGTCTTCTAAGATTTGTTGAAGACACAATAGCTACACTCTCTAACCAATGTAGGATTTACACTCTGTGGACACCCCATTTTTGACCGCTCGCATGGCTCGAGCGCTTACCTCGGAACACTCGATGATGAAAGTGGTATTGTGCGTGGTTCGAGGTTTCAACGAAGGAGTCTTGTTCAAGCTTTGACACAACCCCAAATCTCCCATATTCCCATTAATCATAGCTAAGAAATCCCTTTTTACACCTTGTGTCACCTTGTGTTAAGGCTGAAACAGAAAAAACAAGGGAATTCATTGAGGCCTGGCCGTAGCTCATTGAGGGCCAACTGTGGCTATTGAGGGCCAGCCGGGCTTCAGTAGTGAAAAACATTGTTCTGGGCAGGAGGCCGCCAGCTGTCCATTTTTGAAGATATTTATCACCTTTTGTGCTCATATTCTATAAATGCGACCATATACCTCTATTTTGGGGGTTGAACAATTGAGAGAAAGCCTATATACATAGAGAAAGCTCCTTCTTCATCCTTGTTCCATTGCAAGCTACCTTTGAGTTAACCTACCAACCTTGTATCATCTATGTGCACCATACACAACCTTGACTCATCATCTGAGAACCTTGGTTGGCCCCTAAGAAGCATAATTCAAGCTTGAGAGTGTGTCAAGAGTGAGTTTGATCATCAACCAAAGCTTACTCCATTTTGAGAGGTATAAGTTTGTAACTTTTGTTCTTGCCTTTGCTTACTTAATTTCTACCTATTTCATGTATTCTTGGGCTGTTTTGTATCTACTCTAAGTGTTAGAACTTGGGTTTTGAAAAGCTACCAAAGGTGGTAAGGTTAACACCCTTACTTACACCTATTTCTCTAGCTCAACCCTTGGTTCCTTTAGACTATTTCTCTTTGATTTTCGAACTAATTTTTAGAGTTGAACTAAGGCCAAAAAACATGGTTTGAAGTCTTAAAATTGGAGGGGTTGGCCACCCTTCCTTGTTTTTGCTTACATAGTTTCATTGTCTTTTTTTTTTTTTTTTTGCTTTTTGAGTTCTTTTCTTGCATTTTCAGCCACTATTTTTGGCTTATTAGAGGCTATTTTAGGGCTATCCTAATCTATTTAATTGATTCAAGCTTTGATTAGTTCATTTGTTATAGAATTGGTCTTTGCACATAGCTCGTATTATGTTGTTCTTAGCATTACTTTGTTTAACTTTCATAGTAATAACTTCATTTTAAGAATCAACTTGTCACTCCTTTCTTTCATTTGAGAGTTGTTTCAATCGGTTGATGGTTATTCAACACATGAACTATAGGATCACGCTTAATGGGTTAATCTCTATAGAGATTCATTGTCAACGACGTAATCTCTATTTCATGTTGAGAATTACTTCTCGTTTGAACTAAAGAATGGAAATGACTAAAAGAATTGGTTTAAAAGCAACCAACACACATAAAGAAAATAAGTCATCTTCCTTACGATTGGCCGGACGTTATGCCAAGTCTATCGAGTCAAGTGTGATTATGCTCTAATTCATGACGTTTTGATGATTCTTGAAGCGTCTCTACCTCCCTCTTTGAGCTCACTCTATGACAATAGGAAGGAGTCGTCATATTCATTACATTCATTGATTTATGTCCAAAATTGTATCCGGAATCATCAAGCAATCAATTTGCTCATTGATGGTTTTGGAAACAATTCTAACCTTCTCTCGAGGCTTTTCCATGACTGAGAAGGAAGGAAGGGACAAACAAAGCTTGAACAACTCTGTCTGTACTATTTTCACTTCAAAGCACAAAACAGAGTTTTGCACAAAATTGAGGCAAGGCCGGCCTTCTTTAGGCCCAGCCGGGCTTCATTAAGGCCTAGCCGGCCCTCAATGTTTGGTCAGTAGTGTATTTTTGCAGAAAACAGAGGGCAGTGGTCGAGGTGAAATAGAGCAAAGACAGAGCTGTTCTTGAACATTATGCCTGTGCATGCATGCAATTCTTGCGCATCCTCACTCACACTAAGATCATTGTTGTAATTAATTAATTTAATATTTCTTGTTGTAATTAGTCTCGATAATTATTTAAATGTTGTAATTATTAT